ATTTGTACCAGGAGACAAGGTGTAGTTATATAATCCAAGGAAGACCAAAGGGAAGTCTCATAAGTTGTCTTCTCCATAGAAAGGCCCATATGACATAGTGGATCGTCTCTCAGACGTGACTTTTTGAATAAAATGTCAGCGAGGTAAGCCAAAGGTGGTACATGCCAACAGGCTTTGGAATTATCACGGTCCAGGACATTTAAATTGGAATGAAATGAAAAACCGAACAAACGATGCTGCTGAAGACGTGTCACCTGAAAAAGACGCTGTTGTAGAAGAAACTCTACCCGGTTTTGAGAGGGAAAACAGTGAAGCCGTTAATGAAATTACTACCACTAATGTGGCTGCTACCGATAATGGGACATTTCCTGATGGAGCAGATGAATCCCACGTGAAGCAGAAGCCAATGAGATGGAGACCAGTACGGAAGAAGAAACGTCCTGTAAAATTAAGATACTTTGTTGTATTTTAATTTTGTGTTTGTAAATTCTGTACATTTAATTAAGTTATTATTAATGATCTATTGGTTTAATGTAAGTGGCTATTGTTCAGGAAGAACAATACTAAGGAAGGGGCAGTGTTACGACAGCGGAAGTAGCGTGACGCTGGAGTTTCTGGAAGGATCATGAATTATTGGGGAGGCCCGAGTTTGTTCGAGGCGCCCTCTTTTTTAGTATATAAGCCTGGCGAGAAAAACCAGCGCAATTGCATAGAGAGATAGATATAGATAATTTAGTCAAGCGAATAGTAGGCACTGTAAGTAAAGTGTGTGAATCACTGTGATTTATAGCATGTGTTACATAAGAAGTTAAGTTTAAAGTGACTGTGGAAATTCTGTGTATTACAAAGTTGTATCGAGAAAGAATAAACTAGTTTTAATCAACAAAGGGACTTGTATCGTAGAAGTTTCTCGAAAAGAATCTTTACCGGAAATTATCAAACAAGCAGATACTAACAGTAGGCACTGTAAGTAAAGTGTGTGAACCACTGTGATTTATAGCGTGTGTTATAAAAATAGTTAAGTTTAAGGTACTGATTGGAAATTCTGTGTATTACAAAGTTGTATCGAGGAAGAATAAACTAGTTTTAATCAAGAAGGGACTTGTATCGTAGAAGTTTCTCGAAAAGAATTTTTACCGGAAATTATCAAACAAGCAGATAGAAACAGTAGGCACCGTAAGTAAAGTGTGTGAACCACTGTGATTTATAGCGTGTGTTATAAAAGTAGTTAAGTTTAAGGTACTGATTGGAAATTCTGTGTATTACAAAGTTGTATCGAGGAAGAAGAAACTAGTTTAAATTAAGAAAGGAATTGTATCACTGAAGTTCCTCAGAAAGAAATTATACCGGAAATTATCAAACGAGCAGATATGTAACAATAAGCAACAGACTCGCCACTTTTCTAGAAGTTGTATCAAAATTATCAGAAGTATGAAATTGTTTCAGAAAATTTTGGCAAACTACAGATCATTCAATTAGATTAACTGAAACCATAACAGACAGCTTTAACAAAAACAAATATATTGTCGTCTGCTTTCTCGACATAAAGAAGGCATTCCACACTGAAGGGTACTGTTGCGTCAGCGAGATCACGTGACTATTCTCACGCCCTCTGCTTTCTAGAACTATCCTGTACCTTGGCGAATGGTCCAGCATTTACTAGATATAGGATAGTCTGGTATATAAAAGAGGGTGACAACGTGACAGAACAATGTGTGTGTAGATAGTGAGTAAA